CTACACAATACTACACACTATTATACTACACTACACAATGCTGCACAATATACTACACTACACAATATTATACTACACTACACAATACTACACAATATTATACTACACTACACAATACTACACAATATTATACTACACTACACAATACTACACACTATTATACTACACTACACAATGCTGCACAATATACTACACTACACAATATTATACTACACTACACAATACTACACAATATTATACTACACTACACAATACTGCACAATATTATACTACACTACACAATACTACACAATATTATACTACACTACACAATACTACACAATATTATACTACACTACACAATACTACACAATATTATACTACACTACACAATACTACACAATATTATACTACACTACACAATACTGCACAATATTATACTACACTACACAATACTACACAATATTATACTACACTACACAATGCTACACAATATTATACTACACTACACAATACTGCACAATATTATACTACACTACACAATACTGCACAATATTATACTACACTACACAATACTGCACACTATTATACTACACTACACAATACTGCACAATGTTATACTACACTACACAATACTACACAATATTATACTACACTACACAATACTACACACTATTATACTACACTACACAATGCTGCACAATATACTACACTACACAATATTATACTACACTACACAATACTACACAATATTATACTACACTACACAATACTACACAATATTATACTACACTACACAATACTACACACTATTATACTACACTACACAATGCTGCACAATATACTACACTACACAATATTATACTACACTACACAATACTACACAATATTATACTACACTACACAATACTACACAATATTATACAACACTACACAATACTACACAATATTATACTACACTACACAATATTATACTACACTACACAATACTACACAATATTATACTACACTGATAATGCGGTGATTGCAGGTCTGTAATTTTTCAGTTGGCCAGCAGGGGGCAGGTTAACTGCACTATCACATTTACACCACGTGAACGTCTCTGCTTTTTTTGTTGAAGTTTGTGTGTGTGTGTGTGTGTGTGTGTTAGAAAATAGTATTATCTGGTTAGCAGTTAACCATGAATTGTTTTATATCAGAGATATTTTTGTTTGTCTCCTGTTCATCACCTGTGAGCTGAAGCGGATTTCATTCCCTCTGTGTGTGTGTGTGTGTGTGTGTGTGTGTGTGTGTGTGTGTGTGTGTGTGTGTGTGTGTGTGTGTGAGAGAGAGAGAGTGATTATAAAGGACTCCTGAGTAAAAAATATATAAATAAATGAATAAAAACGGGATCGCTGCGCGGTCACGTGAGTCTCTATGGCAACGCGACTTGTCATCAGTGCAGCTCGCGCTCAGGTTGCATATCAGATCTGTGTCTCTGTACAGCAGAATAAAGTGTGTGTAGTGTGAGTAGAGTGTGAGTAGACTGTGTGTGTAGACTGTGTGTAGACTGTGTGTAGAGTGTGTGTAGAGTGTGTGTAGAGTGTGTGTAGAGTGTGTGTATTAGCGGATCGCAGTAGTGAGGAAGATCTGCATATCTGATCAACACCATGAGCCATTTAACCCCGGGGTAAGTACTGCATTTACTGCGCACGAGCTGCTGATGTTAGTATTGAGTTAGTGTCTTTATGAACACTGTAATGTAGTGTATATGAGCGATAAGTATCAGGAAGCCGGAATGTGTGTGTGTGTGTGTGTGTGTGTGTGTGTGTGTGTGTGTGTGTGTGTGTGTGTGTGAACGCCGTTACTCTGGAGATGAAGAAACACTGCAGAGAATTGGAGCAGGAAGTTGCAGGTCGAGCTGGGAGTGTTTTACATTTAGAGTTCTTATTCAGAAAGTTGTGTTGTGTTTATAAAGGTGTTATAGAGAGCTGAGAGCGGTGAAGGTGTTATAGAGAGCTCAGTGTGTGGTGAAGGTGTTATAGAGAGCTCAGTGTGTGGTGAAGGTGTTATAGAGAGCTCAGTGTGTGGTGAAGGTGTTATAGAGAGCTCAGTGTGTGGTGAAGGTGTTATAGAGAGCTCAGTGTGCTGTGAAGGTGTTATAGAGAGCTCAGTGTGTGGTGAAGGTGTTATAGAGAGCTCAGTGTGTGGTGAAGGTGTTATAGAGAGCTCAGTGTGTGGTGAGATAAGCTGGTGTGGTGAAGGTGTTATAGAGAGCTCAGTGTGTGGTGAAGGTGTTATAGAGAGCTCAGTGTGTGGTGAAGGTGTTATAGAGAGCTGAGTGTGTGGTGAAGGTGTTATAGAGAGCTGAGTGTGTGGTGAAGGTGTTATAGAGAGCTCAGTGTGTGGTGAAGGTGTTATAGAGAGCTCAGTGTGTGGTGAAGGTGTTATAGAGAGCTCAGTGTGTGGTGAAGGTGTTATAGAGAGCTCAGTGTGTGGTGAAGGTGTTATAGAGAGCTCAGTGTGTGGTGAAGGTGTTATAGAGAGCTCAGTGTGGTGAAGGTAGAGAGCTCAGTTGTGGTGAAGGTGTTATAGAGAGCTGAGTGTGTGGTGAAGGTGTTATAGAGAGCTCAGTGTGTGGTGAAGGTGTTATAGAGAGCTCAGTGTGTGGTGAAGGTGTTATAGAGCTCGTGTTATTATAAGTGTGTTATAGAGAGCTCAGTGTGTGGTGAAGGTGTTATAGAGAGCTCAGTGTGTGTGAAGGTGTTATAGAGAGCTGAGTGTGGTGAAGGTGTTATAGAGCTCAGTGTGTGGTGAAGGTGTTATAGAGAGCCAGTGTGTGGTGAAGGTGTTATAGAGAGCTCAGTGTCTTTTGTGCTGTGAAGGTGTTATAGAGAGCTCAGTGTGTGGTGAAGGTGTTATAGAGAGCTCAGTGTGTGGTGAAGGTGTTATAGAGAGCTCAGTGTGTGGTGAAGGTGTTATAGAGAGCTCAGTGTGTGGTGAAGGTGTTATAGAGAGCTCAGTGTGCTGTGAAGGTGTTATAGAGAGCTGAGTGTGTGGTGAAGGTGTTATAGAGAGCTCAGTGTGTGGTGAAGGTGTTATAGAGAGCTCAGTGTGGTGAAGGTGTTATAGAGAGCTCAGTGTGTGGTGAAGGTGTTATAGAGCAGCGGTCCCCAACCTTATTTTCGCCACGGACCGGTTTAATATCAGACAATATTTTCACGGACCGGCCTATAAGTTGTGGCGGATAAATACAACAAAATAAAATGACAGGACCAGCATAAAAACTGGGGTTTTTTAAAATCTAGGTGTTATAGAGAGCTGAGTGTGTGGTGAAGGTGTTATAGAGAGCTCAGTGAGTGGTGAAGGTGTTATAGAGAGCTCAGTGTGTGGTGAAGGTGTTATAGAGAGCTGAGTGTGTGGTGAAGGTGTTATAGAGAGCTGAGTGTGTGGTGAAGGTGTTATAGAGAGCTGAGTGTGTGGTGAAGGTGTTATAGAGAGCTCAGAGAGTGGTGAAGGTGTTATAGAGAGCTCAGTGTGTGGTGAAGGTGTTATAGAGAGCTGAGTGTGTGGTGAAGGTGTTATAGAGAGCTCAGTGTGTGGTGAAGGTGTTATAGAGAGCTCAGTGTGTGGTGAAGGTGTTATAATGCTGTTCTGTGTATCAACACTGTCCAGCTGAAGGTTTAGATCAGATCACACTGAGAACCAGGAACATCACAGACCTGCATACAAATTATATATGTATACAATTAAACTCAGACAATAATCTGGGACGTCGTCTCCGTCCCTCAGGCAGCTGCATCAGAGTCCAGTGTAGCTTTAATAAACAGACTTCCTTTTCCCTACACGTATTAGTGTTAGTGTTCACACCCTAACCCTCTGTTATTTAATGTTAATGAAGTGTTAATGCTTTATTCTGTACTTGTGTGTGTGTGTGTGTGTGTGTGTGTGTGTGTGATTCTGTACTGTGATGTCAAAGACACATTTCATTTCTGATAAATCATGAGATATTTCCTTCTCTTAGCGTTGTATTCAAAAGTTACCTCAGTATTTATATGAGGAAAGTTACTGGTCTTCAGAGTCGGGTTACGCAGCTGCTTAAGGGGATTTTCTGAGCATCACATTCAGATTATTAAAATCACCTGCGTGTAGAATTCTACGTGTGTGAGTTCAGGATTAAATGTTAAACGGTCTGCACTTATATAGTGCTTTTTACCTTAGTGGTTCCAAAGCACTTTACACTATTTCTCATTCACACACACACACACACACACACACACACACACACACACACACACTCACTCATACACCAGTGGTAACAGGGCTGCCATGCAAGGCGCTAACTTGCAATTGAGAGCGACTTGGGGTTCAGTGTCTTGCCCAAGGACACTTCAGCATGTGGAGTCACGTGGGCTATGAATCGAACCACCAACCCTACGATTAGTGGACAACCCACTCTACCACCTGATCCACAGCCACCAAAATCCTCACTGAGCGCTGAACTCAACTCTGAATACGATCCATAATGGATATTGGACTCCCAGGATTCATCAGTGGCACCAGAATTATAAATGCACAGAATTAATAACTAATAAATACAAATACACCTCCGCAAGCCACCCCGCTCCCGATCAGCCCTTTTCCTCAGTATCTCTCAGACCCGGGTCAGAGGACGCGTGAGTGTTAAGTGTCTCGTCCATCCGTAATCAGACTCCTGTAACTGATCCGCTCACTGACGGTCCTCTACAAACACCTCGAGTCCAGAAATCAAAATGCTGCCAGAAAAAAAGCCCAGGAGGAGAAAAACAACCAAACATTACAACCAGAAGCAGCTCTATACCTGACACACGTGGTCACATGATCACCATCACTGACCCCTGCACAGGACATGCCTTATTTCACATTAAAGTTTATACTGTAATTAAAGGATGAGAGTCAGAGTACTGACATGAAATGAGGTTTAGGATGGATGCAATCGCAGTTAAGAACTTTATTGAAGAGAGATATGCAGATAAATCCAAATTTAAAATACAGAGGTGGGGCGCACGGTGGCTTAGTGGTTAGCACATTAGCCTCACACCTCCAGGGTCGGGGGTTCATTTCCCTCCTGTGTGTGCAGAGTTTGCATGTTCTCTCCGTGCTGCAGGGGTTTCCTCCGGTTTCCTCCCCCATTCCAAAGACATGCATGGTAGACTGATTGGCCTCTCCAGAGTGTCCGTAGTGTATGCATGTGTGTGTGTATGTGATTGTGCGATGGTTTGGCACCCTGTCCAGAGTGTACCCCTCCTTGTGGCCGATGCTCTCTGGGATAGGCTCCAGGTTCCCCGTGACCCTGATAAGGATAAGTGGTAAAGAAGATGGATGGATGGATGGATGGATGTAAGACAGAGGTGTGGTCAAACAAACAGGCAGGGCTCAGGTGATCAACATACAAGCATAAACGAGGCAAAGGCAAAAATCAAAGACAAGTAACCAGAAACAAGATCAAAAACCATCAGTAAATGACAGCGACAATGGCAACTGCACGTATACAGGGGTATGCAGGACTCGAAGTCACGGTCACAGAAAACAGGGTCAAAGCACGAAACCTGAAACATGAAGCTATGACAGGGAACTGGGAGCGGAAAACACCTGCGTGGTCTAAGTAAACTAATCTAACTTTAAACTAACTGAATCTTTCAAGGTACGTGACATAAACTATCTGCTATTTTACTATAATACTCCTCGAGGTGAACAGGGAAGCGAGCGGTATATATCCCGGACATAATCAGTGTTACGTGCTGACAGACTTATTTAGTTTTAAAATAAACTGTTCCTGTAGTTCAGGATGTTTAGTTGATCTTCGTGTCTTCATCCTCTCACTTTGTTTGGTGTTACTAGTTTAGACAGGAGCTCATTGATTTGAACTGTGTAAAAATCATACGTGTCCTGTAGCGTGTTTAAAGATAAACTGTGTGTGTGTGTGTGTGTGTGTGTGTGCGCTTTATTGTTAGGCTGATTGGAGCGTATAACAGTCTGACAGACAAACACCTTACTGCATATTTTAACAATGTGCGAATACGAAGACATCTGCAGAGAGTCGGACTGGTACGCCATCACATTACCACAAAAAACATCATCACCATGGAAACATTAACACTCTGAATAAACATCATCACTGTGTAAAAATCCTACACAGACATTAATACACAAAGCATCACTGCTACATAAAAGTCACCAACGCACAAAAACATCAACACATCTTTCATTCTGTGTGTGTGTTGTGTGTTGTGTTGTGTGTGTTGTGTGTGTTGTGTTGTGTGTGTTGTGTGTGTTGTGTTGTGTGTTTTGTGTGTGTGTGTGTTGTGTGTGTTGTGTGTGTTGTGTTGTGTGTGTTTGTGTGTGTGTTGTGTGTGTGTGTTTGTGTGTGTGTTTGTTTTGTGTGTGTGTGTGTGTGTGTGTGTGTGTGTGTTGTGTGTGTGTTGTGTGTGTGTTGTGTGTGTGTTGTGTTGTGTGTGTGTTGTGTGTGTGTTTGTGTGTGTGTGTTGTGTGTGTGTATTTATGTATTATATATTATTTTTTTATTATTATTATTATTTTTTTTATTATATGTATTATGTATGTTGTATGTGTGTTTATTTTATGTATTATTGTATGTGTGTATTATGTATATATATTATGTATGTGTGTTATGTTGTTTTATATGTGTGTATGTATATGTATGTTTTTATTATGTTATTATTTTTATTTTTTTTATTTTATTATATGTATTTTATTTATGTATTATATTTATATATTATTATATTATTTATTATTATTTTATTTATTATATATTATTATATATATTATATTTTTATTTTTTTTTATTTATTATTATTATTTTTTTTTTATTTTTTTATTTTATATTATATATATTTATTATTATTATTTATATATTATATATATTATATATTTTTTGTGTTTTTTTTTTTTTTTTTTTTTTTTTTATGTATTTTTTTTTTTTTTTTTTTTTATTATTTTTTTTATGTGTTTATGTTTGTGTGTGTGTTATTATGTATGTATATGTGTATGTATGTGTATGTATATATTTATTTATGTATGTATGTATGTGTGTATTATATATATATATGTATGTGTATTATTGTTGTATGTAGTGTGTATTGTGTATATATATTATATATTTTATATTATTATGTTTAATATTTTTATATGTTGTATGTGTGTATTGTGTTTATATATATATTTTATTTATTATATTATGTGTGTGTGTATGTGTATATATATATGTATTATTATATATGTGTGTGTGTGTATGTATATATTATTTTTATATGTGTATGTGTTTATATATTATTATATATATATATTTTATATGTGTATATGTATTATATTATATATTATTATATATATATTATATATTATTATATATTATTTATTATATATTTTTTATATATTTATGTGTATATATATGTGTTTATTATGTGTTGTGTGTATGTATTGTGTGTATGGTGTAATATTATGTGTGTATGTGTGTGTATGTGTGTTATTATGTATGTGTGTATTATGTGTGTGTGTGTATTATTTATTATATTATGTGTGTGTGTATGTATATGGTTATGTGTATTATTATATATATTATTATATATGTTATATTATTTATTATGTATTATATGTATATATATGTGTTATTATATATTTATATTATTTATATATTATATATATATTATATATTATATATAGTATGTTATATTATTATATTATGTGTGTGTATGTGTGTGTGTGTATGTGTGTATTATATATTGTATTATATTATTTATATTATTATTATATATTGTTTTTATTATGTATTATATATGTGTATGTATATATGTATATTATATTTATATATTATTTTTTATATTTATATTATTTTTTATTATTATATTATGTGTATGTGTTATATTAGTATGTTATATTATATTATATTATTATATTATTATATTATTAATATATTATGTTATGTATGATATTATATGTATTATTATTGTTATTATTATTTATATATATTATTATGTGTATTATATTATATTATATTATGTGTATACTTATATGTGTGTTGTTGTGTGTGTGTGTGTGTGTTGTGTGTGTGTGTGTTGTGTTGTGTGTTGTGTTGTGTGTGTGTTGTGTTGTGTTGTGTGTGTGTGTTGTGTGTGTGTTGTGTTGTGTGTGTTGTGTGTGTGTTGTGTGTGTGTGTTGTGTGTGTGTTGTGTTGTGTGTGTGTTGTGTGTGTGTTGTGTTGTGTGTGTGTTGTGTGTGTGTTGTGTTGTGTGTGTGTTGTGTGTGTGTATCAGATCAGCAGGAGTGGGCGTATCGTGTCGGAGAAGGAGTTCAGGTATAAGGTCATACACAGAGACCAACAGCGACACGTACGGGAATGTCTCGCTCAGGCCATATTCCACAGAGTGCTGGACATGGAGGTGAGGGTCACAGGGTGCAGTGAGGGGAAACACAGGGACCTGTGCGTGAGTAGATATTCAGAGTTGTGTATGTTAATTAGCAGATATAATATCATATTAAATTATTCTGTCTGTATGAAATGTTCTTTGTGATCAGCGTCTGCATCAAACAGAGATCAGGAGGAAACTGGAGGAATTTTCCAGGAGAGAGCGAGTGAATAAAATGAAGGTGCGTCATGTTCGTGTGTGATGTCGTGTGTTTTCTACATGAACCTGAGATGTGTTGTTATTGTAATTTGTTGACGGACAGGTGGAGCGCTGTAACAGGTATGAGGACGATCCGCTCATCTTCCTCTCTCCACGCCCACCGACCCGACTGAGGAATTCACATGCTCAGCATTCTGGGCCAGAGGGAGAACCATCTGACTCCACTGACTCGGTATGCAGAACATACACAACGGAGACACGTCAATCTGCACACTCAAGAACTTATCGAACTTTTATTTTCATCTTTCATTTATTTATTCATTTACATGAACTTTTATTTTCCTCTTGTGTATGAGACGTGTATTCTTTAATCTAAAGTAATTATGAACTCTTTAATCTTTCAGAACATCGTGTCCCTTTTGAGGCGCTGAGTGTTTGTGTGTGTGTGTGTAAGCTTCAGTAAGGATGTTTTGTCTCGAGTGGGACCGAGAAAACATTTGTTTTATTTTCTTTCTCCTGTTTAACACTCAGTGAGTTTCATCTCGACTTAATGACTGAATTTATAATCAATAATTTTATTTTAAAAATTTAAAAGTGAACTTAGATGACACTGAATATTTGTGTTATCGCCATTGTTATTGTTCCAGTAGGAATATAAATAAACTCCAGTTAGTCCAGAATGCAGCTGCTCGAGTCCTAACTAGAACTAGAAGATACGACCACATCACCCCGATCTTATCCACACTGCATTGGCTCCCTGTAAAATCTCACATTGACTATAAAATACTTTTATTAACCTATAAAGCACTACACGGTCTTGCACCACAATATCTAAGCGACCTTCTGGTTTTATATGATCCTCCACGCCTACTCAGATAAAAAGATGCAGGTTATTTGACGGTACCTCGAATAGTGAAGTCTACAGCAGGGGGAAGAGCGTTCTCTTATAGAGCCCCACAGTTATGGAACAGTCTTCCTATTAGTGTTCGGGACTCAGACACAGTCTCAGTGTTTAAGTCTAGGCTTAAAATGTATTTGTTTACTCAAGCCTACCCTGACTAGATTATATCGCACTACTTCGCAGTCATAATAATCTTTTTTCTCCCTCTCTCTTTCTGCTGAGCCCCACACGATTTTTTAGAGATACTAGAGATCCAGATCCTTTCTGCCTCTGGGTGGAGCTCTAATCTACTCCAATTCCAGACTGCTGGGACTACGGCTGCTCCTAAGACCTTACAGACTTCATATAAATCCATAATGAACTTTTTCACACTGTTCATCTGTTGTTACCCAGATGAGGATGGGTTTCCCTTCTGAGTCGGGTTCCTCTCAAGGTTTCTTCCTCTTAAAACATCTTAGGGAGTTTTTCCTCGCCACCGTCACCACTCAGTGGCTTGCTCAGTTGGGATAAATTCACACCTTTAATATCTGTACACCGTGTTGATATTTCTGTAAAGCTGCTTTGAGACAATGTCTGTTATAAAAAGCGCTCTA